ACCAAATGTTCATTCGTTAATAGTTAACGAATCTCGTTTGGAATAAATGAATCAGTCCCCCCATTCCTCATCTCCAACTGAGGAATTCTTGTTTCGACTGCACGACGAACACTTTCATTATCAATTCAATGTGTCAATGGATTCCCATCAAATATTTGATTTTTCTCTCTCCATTCACAGTAACACGTTCATTCACTGGAGTGAACAGTTAATAATAAAAATATAATTATTTTTAATGGAATTATTTGAAAAAGCTTGCGACTGGCCACCGCCCGAGGGCTTTCAGCCTCGTATTTACATTTTGTATACACAGTGGTATTTTTTTCATTTCCTTGATCGAAATAAAGATTTCATTAATTAGAAATACAATCACAATTTAGACAGGGAAGAGAGCAAATTTATTAACGTGTACTAGTTCTCTATTTTTTATATGTACAAACCCTTTCGGGTTATTTATAACGATAATTATATTAATTGTTACATCAGTTCCAGAAGTTCTAATTCGCTATTCGGTCTTGAAGTCGAGTAATGAAAAAAACTGGAATGATTTTCGTGATTTTTTGTGAATTTTGAGTAATAAATGTACTATTCATCAATATGTCCCACGCGGACGAAGTTTCCTAACATTGACTGCATTTTTTAACGCCGCCGGTTGATCGTTAAGGATGTTTAGCCAAAACCCACCTTATTCGCTATAATTTTGATATTGTCCCACATGCCAAGTTCATATTTGAGCCACACGTTAGTAATAATCTTAATCCTTCCATCGGTGCATCCTAGTGAGAAATTAATTTCTGAAAATCACTTCTTGTAACATTACGCTTAGGGAAGAAACGTGACCGTGTGAACTTTGATCGAGATGATGCATGGGTTAGACACTCAAGATATTGAAAAAAAACCACAAGCCATTTACTTTAGACTATGGAGAATCTATCGCCGGCGAGAACAAGTAGGGGACCGGGCCATATAGGCGTGATATCTTCGATTGATTTTCGAATTCCTCTAAAAAAAATTTGACCGCCATTACGAGTCGAGCAACGCGACAACACCGCACAACAGCTGATCGAGGTCGGTAAAGTCGGTGACGATAATTCAGTGCTGGAAGCATATGGACACGTATAACACACACAAACATTCATCTCACTGTTACAACCCCACTACTAGCCGAAGCGTGCGATGTTGCCCGATCAAAATTCGACTGTTACCACCGCAGTCACAAGTCCTCCATTATATATGAACATTTCCTCTAATTATTGTTTTTGAGACCGTAAAAGTACGCCATAACACCTCTAATTTGATGATAAAAATAATTTGCAGCATGAACGCTTTATTTAGTCAATTTTATTCTTCTTTTGAACTGAGTTGTCCACTTGATAGGTTAAACATCCTTAAGGTCCTTAAATCTCAAAATAATGATGTGTTTTTCAGAGTGAAAAATTTATCGTGTGCATTTTACTGACGAAGTTTGTTTTGAAGATAGTCCTCAATCGCGCCCTGTATTTGTCCCCGTGACGTTGCGGCTATGGCCTGAGCCAGCGGCTTCGGATGGCACGTATAAGCAGTGCGGGTTTACCTTCCTCCCCTTCACCCCACCCTCTGTCGTCCGCTGATACGCGAGAGAGTGTGCGTGTGCTCAGGATTAATCCCGGATTATTGGTCGTGTGTGAGGGGCTCTCGGGCTCTCCCCCGGTTCAAATCCCAAATCCAACGCACACCATCCCGGGATAATACTAAACTCCCTGACGCACACACACACATACGCAATGATCCCAGGCGGTAACGCACACACACGTACAGCGCCCCAATCGTGAATTTTGGGATTAAAAAAATAAAAATCTCCTTTAATCCACGATTTGTTTTATTGTTATATTTTTAATCCCAGTATTTTTTTTTTAATTTCGTTGACGTCTGCAGGATTGGGGAGAATGCATTTTTTGGACGAGGGGATGATCGCATTTTTGCGGATGAAAAATGTCTTAAGAGTTCTGTGAAGTTCTTTATAATGAATTACCGAAATGTTCACTCATGAATAACATTTTTCGCGAGGATTTTTCTTCTTTTTGTGCCCTCATCTCGTCGAATTGAATCGATTCGTTAAATCTTACGAGAAAAATTTGAAAAAACATGGATGATTAGCATAATTAATTTTTTTATTCATTTATTTATGTATTTATTTATTTATTTATTCATTTATTTATTTATCTATTAATTAATTTAGGTATTTATTTATTGCTCTTGAGGGACATCCTCATGGCAAGAGGGGTCAGATTTGCAATTGGGACGGAATTTAAAAAAGCAGCTGATAACATCTAAAAAGAATGTGAAAAAAACAAAAATTATGGAAGGGGGGGGGGGAAAGAAAAAACGATACAAATTTTACATGAAGGTAGATAATAAAATATTGTTCCGTGACCTAGGGTCAAGTGGAAGGTGAATGGAAGCTCTGATATCGAGATTACACATGTTGAAAATCATTTCAACGAAAGGAAATTTTTCATCGCCTTCTGTAAAAAATATTTAGAATAATTTTCCAATCTTCTTCAAGTCCGAAGGTAGGTATTATATTGGTCAAAAGCTTGACCTCAAATTGATCCAATTCATCATGTGTTGACAGCCTCACCACCAGAAAAAAAATTCTCAGTCTAGATTTCTCTGAAGAGAGTTAAAAACTTTCGTCTGAATTTTTCGTGCCGAATTCCGGAAATTTTTATCGTGTTCGAGTTTCACTGAAATTTCAGGAAATCTTGTCATTAAAAAATGAAATATTGCATTGATTTTCTGTTCAAATGATCGGAAAATCCCTAAAATATTCGATTTTTCAGTTCAATTATCCTGTGAAAATGAAAAAAAATCATTAAAATTCAGGGAAAAATTGAAAATTCATATCATTTTACTTCTGAATATTCACGTTCCACTGAAAATTCAATCAAGTTGGGAAATTTCCATCTCACTCCCACTGAAAACTCATGAATTTCCGTGAATTCTACTTAAAACTTGAAATTTCCTAACAATTTGTTCCCTAAATCGAATTCAATATCACTCTCATGAGATTTACTATAACATCTTTCATGAAATTTCAAAAAATTTCTAACAGTGCTACTTTGCTGATGTGTCCAGGCCACCCTGTATTTCGGAAAAACTCCAACTTTGATTTTGCGTTGAAAATCTCATGGTTGATTAACCCAAAAATCACTCTCAACAAATGGAAATTGGTCCTCTTGCCACTTCACATACGAGATGCATGGAAATACGTATGCTCATATTTACATTCAACGTAACTTCGATATTCCACTTGGCATATCGCTACAGAACAAGGACGGGTAGAGAGATGAGAGAGAGTACGGGAGTGAGTGAGAGATGAAGTGAGGGGGAAATATCGCGCCCGCGACCCTTGGATACTAATCCGGATTAAATCAGAATTCCCGGGGGCTATGCGGCCTCGGATGTGAGCCACGGATTCGCAGCACGTTTTAAACCAAACGCGTCGTTTTCATTTCAATTCTTCACTGCTTTTGAAATCCAACGTTTCATTTATTCTCACGTCATCAAAATCATTTTTAGAAAATCAGAGAAGGGGAGATAAATTGTTGCACAGTGTTAATTATTAATTATGAATTAATTTATTTTTGCTGGGAAAAAAATCGGCAGGTGGTAAAACATGATGAATTGAATCATCTCGAGGGCATGTTTTTCACAAATACAGTACCTGCCTTCGGAATTGATTGAAGAACGTAGGGAAATTATCCTGGATCTTTTTACAAACTTAAATTTCGATTTTTATCGCTAAAAAATACATCCTATTGGCGATAAGGGGAGGTGAAAGGGAAAAAACTTTTTCCTTTTTCGAGAAAAAGAATTTGTCATTGAAAAATCGAATATTCGATTTTGAAAAATCCAATATTGAAAAAATATTGAAAAATACTTGATTTTTCAGTTCAGTTATTCTAGTATAAAAATTCTGAAAAATCAGGAAAATTCAAGGAAAAATCGAAAATGCCATTAAAAAAATGACATAAAATGGCATAATTTTCATTTATGTCATTTCGTTTCTGAATAGACATGTTCCACTGAAAATTCAATGAACATGTGAAATTTCCATCTCACTCGCACTGAAAACTCATGAATTTCCGTGGATTCTACTTAAAACTTGAAATTTCATAACCATGTTTTCCATAAATCCGATTCCGTGTCACTCTCATGAGATTTACTATAACATCCTCCATGAAATTTCAAAAAAATTGCACTACTATAGAAGAATGGGTGATACACGGGATTTTTTTTTTAAAAGGCGATTCCGTAAAAAAATTAAAAACAGAAAAAGTCGCCATTTTCTTAAAATTTCGCACTTGGGTGGAGCTTTCATGGAGGAACATAAAAAAAAAATCCAACTGGCCTAGGAGAATTGTTTAGAAGGGGTAATTAAAAAACTCATGAAAAATAGGAATTCTACGTGCGCAACTTGGAATAGCGACAACGTCGAGGTTAGAAATCGCGGAGGGGTAAGCGCGGCAAATACGAATGGAGTTGCGATGATACATTTCGCTATGGGAAGGAACATAACAGCTGAGTGAATCAGTGCTGCCAACTTGTACCTCGAACAGCCCAACTTTGTCACTTTTTCTATCCATAAATATTAATTATTTTCCAATTATCCAAAAGACAAGCTAGAAAAATAAAAGAAGGCTTGAAATATGTGGGAAAAAATATAAAAGTTATGAAAAAAATATTTCGAACGCAAAAATGGTCGAAATAGATTGAAAATTTGTGATTGAAATATCGTTTTTTGTTCAGCGATTGGTTTTCTGCGAGAGAACAATAGATTCCCCTCCGTCTCACCTCCTACATGCCCACCCCGCCATAAACATCTTTAGCTATTGAAGCAAAAATAATTTGTCTCATGGGAATACGTTGCAGATATCGGAATATTTTTCTCAGTGTAACAGAATTTTCCGTAGAAACTGAAAGAAAACCGTGTTTGCCTGAAAATTATTTTCACTTACCAGCGACCGTTGAACTTTTGCTGAGATCAAAACCCTCTGGTTTTGGGCTACTTGAGTCGATTTCCTGCTTCGGATGTCTATTGTGGGGAAGACCAAATGATTGTGATACCTGCTGGGTGGTGGGAGGCTGAGACTGTTGGTGAAAACTCGGGGCGATGAGGGAAACCGGTGGGGCCTGATGCAACTGCGGATGATGCACCGATGATGGCCGTGGAGTGGGACTGAGTGTCGCGTGTGCTGGGTGAGACTGGTGAGATTGTGGACTTCGCGGTATCGGGGATACACTCGACGGCCGGGATGGTGGCGATGCCTTGTGCGTCAAAGCTAACGCCTGACTCTGCAAAAAGTTATTTATGGTCATTAAATACAGAGAAAAAACGTGATTTTTACGAACACGTCAGGAATTTTGAGGAGCTCATTCCTAATTTTTAGGAATCTTTTCCCAATTTTTAGGAATTCATTCCCAATTTTTGGGGACTTGCGATTGCGAGGCAGCGAGTGCGGAAGTCTTGATTTCAGTAATTTTCTACAGAAAAAAAAGGTTTTATTTTCGGAACATGCACTTTTAAAAATTTTGCACTGAAAATTTTCCACTGAACACGGTATGGACTCTCTGGACGACCATTTTAGTGTCAAAATCAACACCGAATTTTTTACTGTGTAGATTAGTAAAAATTAGGTAAGAATTGCTGAAAATCAGTGACATGTCCCTAAAGAGAAATTTTTTAGAAAAATTCTGGTACTGATATTGGAAAAAAAAGCAATCCACTGGCTACGAAAAATTGTAGTGCTGTTGAGGTAAAATTTCTAGAGATTTCTTCACTGTTGAAACTTTTCCACTAAAATATCCGGTAAGATTTTTGAAAATTTCTACCAAGTAACATTTCCACTGAAATTTCCGGATATTTAGTCATTGAAAATTTATAATTTCATGGAAAAATCCGTGAAAACTGTTAATTTCTGTTTAAATATGCCAGGAAAATTAATGAAAAATCAGGAAAATTCAAAGAAATCTCTTCTTGAACTCCAGATTCGTCTAAATTTTCAGAGAATTCCCTGAAAATTCAAGAGAATTTGGTAATGAATATTCATTTTCACTTCAAATTTCATGTAAATTGTGAAATTACCGTCTTCCTGCCACTAAAAAATTGGCACTTGAGTTTTTAAAGAATTTCGAAATTCCATTGACCTTTTTTCCCTTAAATCGAATTCAAGTTCTTTATCCGGAAAATTCAGCCAAATATTTTCAGCACTGTGTCACTGATTTTCAGGAATTTATCACCAATTATTGATAACACTGGACATAGACTACACAAGTGTCCCAAAACTCATCATACATATCTTGCGGGTAGCTTGGGGGAGTTATTGGAGACGAAAAGTCTAATACAATTTTGACTCCGGCGCTTTATTAAGGAGTTTTTCGTGAACAAAGCAAAAATCCACCGCAAATCACCCTCTATTTGAAAATTAATATCTCCTCTCTCACTTGGGCTGGAGGAATGAAACTGATGGCAATCGATTAGGCATTTAATGCACAATGATCTGAAAAAAAATTGTTCTTCTATCATCACGCCCGGTTGAGGCAACTCGCAATAAATTTCCCCGCGGCGTGAGAGCCATTCGGTTCCTACACGCAATGACCCTAAAAATCAGAGTCAACGTAAAAAATTCATATCTCCACTCTCATTCAATATCGAGGGATGAAATTGATTGGAATCGATTAGACATTCAATGCTATCATCCTTCCGCCTTAAATGGGAAAGAGGATATGATTCCTCTATCGGGGAATAGCGTTCGATTGGCTGTCGTTTTTTTCTTGATAACTCATAAACAAAGCGTCGGAGTTAAAATATTCATCAGTTTTCGTCTCCAAATGCCCCCCCGAGCTACCCCTACGATACGTACGATGAGTTTTGGGACACCCTGTAGAGTGACCCTGCATCAGTGATTTTTTCATCCTGTATTCCGCAGCTAAAATTCCGGTGCTGGCACCTAATTTTTTTGGATCTGTCGGAATAAACCTTGTTCTATTTTTTGTTCTTTCATGCAGAATTTTCAACTGGAAATTTCCCCACTTTGCCTATACAAATATTTTCATTGCTCCATTTCCCGATTAAGAGAATCCACTTTTGGAGTGATTTGAGGTTTGTGACTTGTACTTTAAAATTAAACTCATCAATAGTTTCATATAATGCATTGAAAGAAACGGGGAGCGATGAAATCTGAGCACGTGCTCAATTCATAATATGAGAACGCCGGAGAGAATGAAGGCTCTTAAATGCGCCAGTGTGCGACGAGTGTATTTGAGTATCCACACACTGGTGTTACTGCGGGCTTATACCATGCGTTGGATTTCACGTATACAAGTGTGACTTAACACCCAGTTCCAGTGTATAACAAAACGGGCTAAGCCGTTTTTTTCTCGTGTCAACTGGGGTCAACTGGGCCCAGAATGCGACAATCCTCTGCACGCACTGTGTAACACTGTGACGCTGTCTTATCGTAAATGTCTTGGAAAATGTTAACTCACCGAATCTCGTAAGTTCCAATAAAAAATCTCGGGATGAATAAGTTTTTCACGGGGATCTGTTCGATCATCATTTGTTATGATTTTCATGGATTTAGAGATGCGAGTTCTTGTGTGAATGTTCGCAGAGAAATAGAGTTGCGATTTTCAGGGACGCGTGCACTGATTTCCGGGGATCTGTCGTTGATCTTCAGGAATTTATCCGCAATTGTTGGGGATTCGCGATTGTGAAATTTAGAGAGTGCAAAATTTCGAAATTCAGTGATTTTTCCACGATTTTTTTACGTGGACAAGATCTATGCGCGCGCTGATCTATTCATTTGTTGAAATGAAGAAATGGAATTCATTGAATTTCATTTTCTCATGAATACCTTATAAATATTGATAATGAATCAAAGAGAATTCGACTAATGATTGAAGCGAATAGCGAAGTAGAGTAAAAGATTCTATAAAGAATTTTTCATTTCAATTAATTATCTTTAATTTTTTTAAATAATCGGTCTCCATAAAAGGACATAATTTATTAATTTCACCGATAATATATATACATGTGAAATATATATATATATATTATATATATATATATGACGTGAAAAAAATTTACCACTGAAGAATTTGAAATTATGTCACTGAAGAATTAGAACATGCCGCGTGTTTTTTTGTGAATAACTTCGTGTCAAATATTGACCAATCAGAATTAAGGATTAAGAATTAAGTAATTTTTATCGAATATTTCTCTCCGTGCATGGGGACGAATGGAAGTGAAATTTAACCGAACGCGTTCGGTAAAAAACCATTTTCCGTTAGAGAAAAATTCTCCGCAATATTGAGCAATCATTCACGTCCACTGGGATAATTTTTTCTGAAAAGCAGGATAAATTTTACAGTTCCGGCACAAATAACCCTCACATTCGTTAAATTTTCCCGGGCCAACGGCGAAAAATTCCCTATTCGCCTCGCACTTTTCCCCAATATACATTGAAAAAGTGCAGAAAATCGAATTTGCCCCGCGATTACTTGACTTGTTCGGTAATTTGTCTCCGTTTCCCCCGTGCGGGACCGTTACCGATCCACTCCGCCTCCACCAAAAGCTCCCAGAAATTCTAAAAATTACTAAAAATATTTGGATCATTCTATTCCGCATCGTCACAATTTTTTGTTCCTTGCAAAGACTGTACTTGGGGTACGGTGGCACGGGCTACTGTTTCGGGAGCCGCTTGGGCCACGACGGTGGTATGCAGCACCGCAAGGCCCTGGCAAAAAACACGTCGGACCGGGCCCCTCCATACGCAGACCCGTAGGGCATATAATACCGTGCAGTTGAAGAAAGACGGAGCGACGGTGGAGAATGAAAAAAAAGGGGGAAAATAACGAAGACGAGTGGGGAAGTCGATTTTCGTCTTCCCGCTGGTATCACTCTGGGTTTATGCTCGAGTCATACAGGCAGACAGGTGCGAAATATGGGGTCGAAGGGGGTTCTCACATTCGATCGCTCGCGAATACTTTTTCACGTGTATGAGATATCGGGTGATTTTACGGAGAAAAAAACCATTCGGGGGGGGGGGGGNAGCGATTTGCTTCCGTATAATGGACTGCGAGATGAGTGAGGCGAACGCTAAGGAAAGCCGCGGCAACAGGTGGATGGGGGTTATCCTTGCGCTCATCCTCCGGAGTAGAGGGCGATAAAAATGAAAGGGAGTTGATAAAACTTGGATTCAATTTGTGGCTTTTTACTCTCATTTCACGGAGGAAAAGAAGTTTTTATTTTCGAGGACATGTCACTAATTTTCAGGTAGCGGTTTTTAATTATTGGAAATTCAGGTTTGTGACATTCAAAGAGGGGGGAATTCTGGAATTCAGTGATTTTGTCACCGATTTTTAGTGACATTGTCACTCGTCTCTAATTCTTAGGAAGATATCAGCAATTTCAGTGATGGAAATCACCGATGATCAGGGTTATTCTATACAGGGTGTCCTAAAACTCTTCGTACCTATCGTGAGGGTAGCTTGGGGGTGTTATTTGGAGACGAAAAGTCGAATACAATTTTTGTCTCCGGCGCTTTGTTAAGGAGTTTTTCGTCAACGAAGCAAAAATCCACCGCAATCACCCTCTATTTGAAAATTAATATCTCCTCTCTCACTTGGGCTGGAGGAATGAAACTGATGGCAATCGATGAGGCATTTAATGCACAATGATCTGAAAAAAACTGTTCTTCTATCATCAATGTGCAATGCGCAATGTGACCCTAAAAATCAGAGTCAACGTAAAAAATTCATATCTCCACTCTCATTCAATATCGAGGGATGAAATTGATTGGAATCAATTAGACATTTAGTGCTATCATCCTTCCGCCTTAAATGGGAAAGAGGATATGATTTCTCGACCGGGGAATAGCGTTTGATTGGCTGTCGTTTTTTTCTTGATGACCCGTGATCTTATGGAAATCACCAAAAAAACTGCAAAACCCAAGGAAAAAATGCAGCCAAAGTCATGAAACTTTAGATACGTTTAGAACATGTGATCAATGATTTTTTGAGTGAAAAAGATTGTCGCCTAGGAGCATTGTTTATTAATAATAGCGAAAAAAGGACTGAAAAATGAAATTTCTGCGCACGCAGCTCTAACGAGCAGCAACGTCCCAAGTACCGATCGGGTGGGGGTAGCGCGGTCAATTTAAACGTCTCTTGAGAGAGAGCGATGAAGCGCTGTGATTGGAGCTCCCTCGACCCAGTGGTACCAGCTCCTGGTGAAAAAAAACTACCGACGATGTTGCCACTTTTTCGCATGGATTAATATTTTTTCATTTATT